GTTCGGTTCCGGCACCCTCAAAAGTGCCTCGAAATCAAGTTCTAGGGGATCTGATCCTGGCAGACATCAGCACGCTCAGGTACACATAAAAAGTAAACACTTTAAAGTGTCACGCGATATATGGAAAAACCGACACAAGGAAGTAGACCACTTGATAAAGTGCAGCAACTAATTATATAGACCCCCTAGAAAACTAGGAGAGTAACTTTGATGAGCAGACATCTAAAGCAAGTATCAATAGAACAAACGTTTTCCTTTGCCCTTGTTGTTTTTTTGTTTTTTTCTTTTGTCTTTTGTTTTTGGTTTTTCGAGACAGGTTTTCTCTGTGTGTAGCCCTGGCTGTCCTGGAACTCACTCTGTAGACCAGGCTAGCCTCGAACTCTTAAACTCATAGATCCGCCTGCCTCTGCCTCCCAAGTGCTGGGATTAAAGGCATGCGCCACCACCGCCCAGCCCTTTGCCCTTGTTTTAGTGCATGGCGCTTTGTCTCGGCAATAGAAACCCTAAGTGCTCATATACACGATTAAAAAATAAAAACACACAGCCAGGTTAGGGTAGTTTGTGGACAGCTTCTGTAGAGGTGGCCATGGGTTCCAGTGCTAGGAACTTGGAACTAAAGTGTCATGCATACTGGGCTAAGTTAATAAAATTCTAATCTCAGCACCACAAAGAAGCTATCAAGAGGAATGTAAGTAGAACCTAAAATGGATACTTTTCTCCAAATAATATAGTTCCAATCAAAATTCTATTCATGATCTCAGTAGAATTTGGTGTCAGGCAGGTAAAGGCACACGCCTTTAATCCTAGCACTTGGGAGGCAGAGGCAGGCGGACTTCTGAGTTTGAGGCCAGTCTGGTCTACAGAGTGAGTTCCAGGACAGCCAGGGCTACACACAGAGAAACCCTGTCTTGAAAAACTAAACCAAACAAAAAGGCAAGATGACCGGACACACACACACACACACACACACACCTGGTTTCATGTACCCCAGCTGCCCTTGAACTTGCTATGTAGCTGAGGATATCCTGGAATGTCTGATCTTCCTCTGCCTGCCTGGGATTGATTTTAAGTGTTCAATATTACCACTCCTACCGAGTTCCTGCAGTGCTGGGGATTGATTCCAGGGTCTGGTCTACCCGATGCACTTCATCTACTCAGCTGCATCTCAGACCCCCTTAAACTTACGACCTTACTATACAATCCAAGCTGGTCTGAAAGATGTCCAGGCTGGCCTTGAATTTGTAGTAATCCTTGTCTCTGCCTGCTGAGTGCTTGGATTAGAGGCTTACACCACCACACCTGGCCTTAGGTGCCATTCGCAATGCAAATAGATTTGTAGGCAAGAACAGAGAGCACATAGGCACACCCTCTTGCTACAGAGAACTTGTCAGTAGAAAGTAGAGATCCAGGGAGAGTAGAATGGGTGGCTCAAAACAAAGCTCTACAAAGAATGGGCGTGGCTCTGGTGGTAGAAGTACTTTGCACACCCAGGCTCTGGAATCAATCCCTATCACAGGTAAAGGTGCCATAAAACAGTCATGGGCAGGGAGATCCTAAGTTTCAAGTTGCAAAGGATATGTGAAGTCACACACACACAAACTTAGTTTCATTGCAAGGACTCTTGTATTCTGAGAAACCAAACTCATGGCTTACAATTTGGAAATACTCATTACATCAGTCAGATCTTATATCCATCAGTTCACACAAGGTAACACCAAGACAGGATGATGGGGATTGAACAGCTGCTAGTGAAAATGGTAAGCTGGCAAAAGAACAAATTTGTAAAAACCAGGTTAAAGCTGGGTGTGCACATGTCTCCACCCTCAACACTCCAGAGTGTATGCTCAAGGGGTAAAGTGTAAGGCTATTCTCTGCAGTATTCTTGAGGGGACAGGAAGAACATAATACATCCTGCGGTCAGCGTGAAATGTGTCAGTCAATGTGTGCCATCTCAGAACTGAGTGATGGAGCACACTGAAAAAGAAATCCTGCTAACCCCCCAGCTCCTTCTCAGGCTGACTTTGAGCACTTTCATTCCCAGAATTAGCCATTAGCCATTAGGAGCTAAGAAGTGTCCAGCAAAGACAATGTGTAAAGATCAGACAAACACATGGTGCTTCTGACAGACTTGGCTCTCATGTCAACTCTGGGGTCCATGAACAAAATCTTAGCCAGTTTCATACCCCATAAAGGCAACAGCCATGTTTCTCTTCTCCAGTGATCTTTTATTGTAGCCCACAAATACTGAGCGCCAGATAAACACTGTAGATGCTTGGGAGCACAGAGTGAATGGCCACCACACAACTTTGCAATTCTTAGTGCTTTTTTATTTCAGTTAAAAGTGAATACATACATACAAAATTCTAAGTAACTTCCTAAAATGGTTTTACCATTGGGCAATCTTTATTTTGAAAGTCTTAATTGTTAAATATGTCTAAAGTGCATTTTTTGCAGCTAATCAATAGCAGCATTTGTTTAAAACCTTAGAAAATATTCAGAACAGTTGGAAAAGTCACAATAAAAAAGGAAACGTGATCTAGATACATTCTTCTGCAAGATGACTCAGACACTGCGGTGCACAGCTGGATAAATAAATCACCAACAGGAGTAAAAACAGTCTTCTGGTGCCAGGCTATCAGCTCAAGGTTTCTTGCGCCTAAAACATAAAACCAACATTTAGTATTGCATTCTACACTGCAAAATTAAGTCCTTGGAGCAGGCAAGGAGCTTATAGAATATATCAGGAGGTAGCTCCCCCTGTTCTGAGCCTAAAGCCATCTTCCTCGTTTCCAAAGGAATTAACCCAAGGTTAAAAATTGAGAAAGATGTGTGAAGATTGGTTTTATGAAATATGAAAAAAGAATAGGCTGAGTTAGCATCACATATCTTTAGAACATGTAACCCATGTAACGGGCCAGTGTGAGCAAGAGCTACCAATGTGCTGACACCTCCTTCAACAAATCTTACAGCACTCTGGAGAGCTGGGCACTGCAGAGGCTGGCCACAGATTGTCAGTAGGGCCTGAGGAAAATCAGACACTGGGGAAAAGGTGGACCAGGAGTAGTGGTCGAAAGCCTGGGAGAGGGAGGACAAAGCAAGGCTGGCCATTCATTCATTGTGCTCACTTGGGTTGCGCGTGGTGCTGATATCCGGGTCCCAGCTGAGATCCTGCCCTCATTTCAACAGCAACAGAACACTAGAGGAGAGTGATAGGAGAGGAGAGGTCATCTCTCATGATCCAGAAGCATACATACATTTAGATGGGCTCTACTACAATGAAATCCAAACCTGCTCTAGTTTAGTGAAGACAAAGTTAAACCACTAGTCACACACTTACGATTCACTGGCAACACAAGCAAGAAGACTGAAGATTACCCAGGTACATTTTCATTTTAGATAAGGAAGTAGAAACGGTAGACCTGAAAAAGCTGGTGGCCAGGGCCTTGCCTGATTCTCCCCTTAAGAGCCTTCCCTCAGAAGCAGTCTTCACAGGGAGCACTAGGCTCTGCTGCAAGTTAGTCCATCTGCTGGGATTTTGCATTAGTCTGGAGCAATACCCCATTCTTGAACCCAACCCCACCCTCTACACACACACACACACACACACACACACACACAC